AAAGCCATGGCAGCCTCGGCGGCCCCTCTTTGCTCAGTTCTGCACCAACCGCCCCCACCCCCGTAAACCACCCCCCCCCCCCCCCCCCCCCCGCCGCCCGACTCCCAAGACAGCAGAAAAGCGTTTTGGAGCTTATTGTGCAGTTTCCCCTTGGACCACAGCCCCGGCAGGCTACTGAACAAGAAATTCTTCATCTAGCCAGGCTAATTTACAAACATTGTGTTGTTCTCTGCCTGAGGTCTTATTTTCATCAGAACTTCTAGAAACCTACATTGTTTGCATCCAAGCTTTCATGTCCCTCTGTATTAAGAATGTCTTAATTTTTTCCTCATTAATATTTAACATTGTTAGTCTATTTCTAAAGTAGGGTAAGAAGATCTGAGACTGTTCAGGTGTAGTTATTCAGTTCTTGAACTCTGAGGCACAAACACCTGCAGGACCTTCACCCCAATCTGTCCCTGTTCAGAGAGGGGCTCTTAGCTGGGAAATCAGGCTTCTCTGACCTAGGATGCATCCCTAGCAGAGATGCAAAGATGCCAGCCTGGGCTTCAAAATGCTCTCTCATTATTATGCCACGATATCTAGTTTATCTGTCATTGTACTTTGGTATCTGTCAGTTAAAGGAATAAGGTATTGCAGACCATTCTAGTCCAGAGTCATTAAGATATTTTTACTCTAAAAAAATATGCACTTTGGAGGCTTGGCATCGTGGTTGGTATCTGTTACTTAAAGACTTAACAGCACAGAAGACAAGCGCTTATGGTTTGATCTTCTGGTAAAATTCCTTGACATTTCCCAAGTCCTGGGTCTCCAATAGGTTTCATAAACGATTGTAGTTCAGACAACTGCAGCACAATTTCCAACAAAGGAAAAACTGGTTCAATTCTATATGCACATTTCTATTACTTTCATATGGAGGTTATGTCGATCTTGCTTTGCTATGAAATGAAATGACTTCTGCACAATATTGCACCTGGAAGCTTAAAAAGCTAATAACCTGTTTCTATACCGGTGTGTTTTAGAATGATGAGCCAGGCAAAGGATAAAATTGGACCAACTGCAGACCCGTTTCCAAATAATAAGCAATGTTTTACGAATTGTCCTTTATAAGGAACCAAGCCCAAGGAGAATGTATTCAGAGCCTAGATGAGAAGGTAGATGTTGAGTTTTGTATATTTTAAGATGTGTGAATGTTTTAAAGAGCAGATGGTTTTACTGAAAGATGATGTGAATCCTGGCTGGGCTGGAGAGAGAGCTGCAGGGTTGAAGCATCTAACATCCAATCTTCTGCATAAAAACAGCTTTCAAAAATTAAGCCATTTGTGAGTTTTACTCAGGGTTTAAGAGACTTAGGGGGAAAAAAAAATCAACCAAAGGGCTTGTTTCTTCTTTCATTTTTTTCCTCCCTCTGTAATCTCTTTAAGGATGAGAACAAGACAGAGACACATATAAGCAAACAGTGAGGACGTCACTTGTGTTTACTCTCTTGTTTCAGGTGCTTCTAAAGGAAGATTTCTGAGTTCTACAGATGCCAAGGTGGACTCCAGCTGGATTTGGATGTCTTGGCCATTTGAGCTGCCAGATGGAAAGCTCTTGTGCAATAGGTGCTTTTCTTTGAACAATCCTATTGCTTCTCCCTCCCCCAGCCCCTTGGCCGGATCCCCTCAGGGGATTTCCGACCAATGTGAAGACTCCAAAGAGATGAAGGACTGCATAAAGGAATCCAGTTCTCAACAGAGGGAGAGAGGAAATATAACCCAGTGCTCTTCCAAATTCAGAATCTTAGATCCAAATTCTGGCTCTGAAAATGACTTGCTGTGGAAACCAAGAAAGGAACTCAATTTCTATCCGTTACCTTTCTAATCTGAGAGCAAGGGCTAAACCAGCTCAGAAGTTCCATCAAATATTGTGTGACTAATGGATGGTGCTTTGACATTTGATATTATATCCACAATATTAATCATGAGTCTGGATTTAATGGAGTTCAAAGGGATGAGACTGAGGACTTATACCCAGGGACAGTTTAGGAAAAGGTAATTTGTATGGAAAGCAAATCCAGATAGGGCCTCCAGAATAGGATTGCCATATAAAATATAGAACAGTTCTAAGTGCTTTTTAGAATTTTATATAAAGACAAAAATTTTCTTAGCACCAATATGTCCCAAATATTGCATGGAACATACTTAAGAATTACTAATTCTAGAAATTATTTGGCATTCATCTGGAATTCAGATTTAAGTGGGTATACTGTGTTTTTTATTTTCCACATCTGGCAGGCATAATTTACAACAGGGGTTTGGCCTGAAGAACAGGAGAAGGAAGATGATAGAGACCATGGGCTCTCCAAGCAGAGGATTATTCTAAGTTGAGAAGTCTGAAGTCAGGGTTGGGGAGGAGTTTCTAGAACAATTAGGACAATTCAGGCTTTCATGTATGTGTTATGCTTCAAAATGTCAGATTCTGCAATTCAGCCTACCCCCACCACCTCCACCCTGCCCTTTCTTTTTTTACCCAGGGAACAGATTAAAGTGAATTTCTTCTTGGAGGAATTGTCAACTCATTCATCATTCCTCAAATATTCACTGAGTACTGATCATGTGTTAAATACCATGTTGGTTTCTGAGGAGTAGGAACAGATGAGCACAGCCCCTGCCTTCATAAGAGCACCCGGTCGGGGCGGACCAAGATCAACTTTTCCCTTGCTTTTGGAAGTCTAAATCTGTCTCCTGGGTTCAAAACCTCAACACCCCCTTTTTTTTCCTCACCTGCAATTAGATACCTGCAGGGGACAAATTAGATTCTAGAGGTAGAAGAGAAATAAACAGAATGTAGTTCTTGAGTACAAGAATCTAATGGCAAAACGAAACCCTAATGCCAACAATTATTTTAAAAAGGTGAAATATGACAAGAACAGTTAAAAAGGATGGAGTGGGGGAGGGATTAGAGGAGACTTACCTCAGTTTGGGGACATAGGAAAGTTCCTTATAGGAATCTGAGATGGGCAAGGAATGCTGAGCTATTCCCTTATAACTCTGGCTTTAGAATCATATAATCATGGCATCAGAATTAGAAGTCTACATATCCTAAAGCATTTTCCGTAGCCTCCTTCACTGAGGATCATTTGAATTTGAATTTTCATTTGAAATTCTCTATCTTCCTAAGAAGTCCATTCCACTGTTGGAAAACTAATTGTTAGAGAATCAAAAAAGCGGAGTTGAAATCTGCTGCCTCTAAGCTTCCCTCATTGATTCTACCTCTGTCATCTGCCCTACTTAAGACTTTCATCAAATACCCGGATGAAGATACAGAACACAAGCTGACCAGTTTTTCCCATGATGGAAGCAAACACTGCAAATGACACAGAGAAAATTCTAGGCCAGTAAGAGGAGATGTAATATGAATACATGCAAAATCCTGCATTTAGATTCAAAAACCTCAATTAGAGAATAGAAGAAAACTGGCTTGATAGGAACTCCTGTGAAAAAGACCTAAGGGTTTAAATTAATTCTTAACTTAATATGAGCCAACAATGTGATGTGACTGCTAAAGAAGCTAATCATCGTGAACTGCACAGCTAGAACAGTGTCAAGACCATAGAAACTAATAGCCCCAATATAACCTGCCTCAGTCGATCATATTTATATGACGTGTTCAGTTTTGCATGCTTCATTTTAAGAGGTTAATGTATATAAACACTATTGCCATCACACCTGGCAAGGTGGCCCCACTTGTCACAAACATCAGTACAGAAATACTTTTCACCCCCTCTAACTTTGCATCCCCCCAATTTTTTGAAAGATCGGAATTGGCTGATCAAATGGGAATTTGGGGAAAGGGACACATGTGTGAAAACTAGACTTTCCCCCAATCTCTCCTGAAGACAAAGGATGCTGGACCAAGAACATGATGGGGTATCAGAGCAGGTATTGGTTAGAAGAAAATTATAGTCTCTGTTTGGAAACTGGAGAAAGAGCCAGGCAGCTCTGTTTATTGTTGGCTACTCCAAACCTTCCAAGGCAGGTGTCTAGGTGACTGGGCCTCCCAGCTGACTGTATTCCTGTGAAGAGTAATTTTGGGAAGAAGCACTTAGAACTGCCTCAAATGGAAAAGTGAGTGAATTAGCCTGCTGGGCTCCCTGTGGTGGAGAGGACTGGGGTGACCAGGCCTCGTATTTGCCCTAGGCCTAGGACCCATTTCCACCTTGCCCTTGTTCAAGCAGATCTGTGCCACCATTTAGGAGACAGCACGACTTTTTTAGCCTTTGGATTTCAAGGGTGATTCCCCACCTGGCTCTGGAGCACTGGGTGAGAGCATGCGCTGGCATGAGCGTGACTTAGAACTTATAAATATTTAGACATATGGTAAGTGGTCTCCATTTATATTTGTTTACTCAGCCTATAAATGTCGGGATACAGGTGAGACATAACAATGCCTCTAGTTTAGAGAAAGAACATTTCCTCTATTGTGGTTATAGTGATTTCCTCAAACAGCAGACCTGACCATTTGCATCCCTCACCACCGCTCACCTTTTTTTTAACAATCTATGTAAAATATATTCCATGTCTATGTAAGATACCTAGTACGGAGGCTGGCATGCAGTAAGTGCTCAGTAAATGTTTGCTTTTTTCCCCTTTTGCATTCTTTTCCCCACCTTCCAAGCACAACTAAAGATAGCACATTTTCACAAGCTTCACCTTGATTTGAGCTTTGAGATCCTTTTGAGTGAGCACACACACACACTCAGGCAGGATTCTCTTTCACTGACCCCTTCATTCTTTGTGAGAGACCTATTGTTCCCTTTTAGCATATCTAGTCCTGAGTTTCATTATAAAATTTTCATTCCTACCTTTTCTCTAGTCATTTGAAAACAAAAAATCAGTGCACATTTTTGAGTATGTTTCCATTTTCCTTTGTATCAGGGTGCTTTGATTTTAGGTTGCAGAAATAGTGTCTGAAAGCAAGAGGAATGGATTTTTGAAAGGATGCTGGGGGGTACTCACATACTTGAAGGAGAAAGGATACCTCACAGGTCAGGAAGAGGAGTAGTCAGGCCACCTCTAGGAATTCAGGAAAGGCTTGCTTATTGAGTAACAGCTTCAACTGCCTGCCTGTGTGGCTTTGCTCCACACACATGTCCTGGGAGTGAGAGTGGCCACTGTGATCAGGAGGGTGTGAAGACCTGTGATTAGCAGTCCCACCAAAACTTCATGGGTTTGGACAGTGCAGGTCCCTAAAGGAGAAAAGCTAGTGAGAAAAACCTACACATACCCACCCCATTTTCTTGGCAACGTTTGAAATGACCGTGGAGGTATCCTTCATTTCCATACTGTTTGTTCATACGGAAGGCTAGAAATATAATTTCTTTTGTGACTGCCTGTTGCCTGCTCTAAGCTCAGCCTGCTTTGAATCTTCAAGATGTAGGGAGCATGAGGGGAAGAACAGATTTACATGGGGGTGGGAAAGATGGTGAGCTTGATTCTGGATTTGTTGTTTGGAGTGCCACTGGGGCAGTTAGGTAGTGCTGTCTAGCACCCAACTGGAAATATGGGTCCCAAGCTCATAATAAAAATCAAGACAAAGAATGTAGATTTGGAAATTACTATTCATTTGATATTTTAATTAGATCATCAAGAAGCAATTATTAACCCCCTGCTACATACCCAACTGTTTTGAGGGCTAGAATCATAAAATTGAATAATTTAAGAGGGTAATTCTTAAGAAGATTACAGTTTTTAGGAGACAGTGGCCAAGTAAATCAATAATTGTAATGTAATGCCCATTAGGGTGATGTATGGGGTTTACTAGGGTGCCAGGGAAATACAAAGAAAGGGCACTTAAAGTGGTTCCAGCTCCTTTGCCTGGCTGTCACTTACATTAATAGGATATCTTCCTATTCCTTTGGTCATTAGAATTTATTTCTGCCCTAGACACATTCTGTATCTCCCTTTTGTTAGACGTACCCCAGTGCAGCACCTAGACTGGCCTATACCATCTGTAGCCTCCTATAGACCAAGTGCTGACAACAAAATACTGTAGGGGTAGAGATTTTGACTAAACATAAAAAACTGATGGTAATTAAGATATTCCATTAAAAATATATTAAAGATATACTGGTATAACCCCTCAAAACATTTTTAGTTGGTATCTGTTATTTTTTGATACTTCTGTTCATTTTTTAATATTCTTTAGTCAACTGCTTCTTTTCAGCCCAATTAACTACTACATAGCAAAGGTATACTTAAAAAAAAAACAAAAAACAAAAACAAAAAACCTCTAGTCATGCAACCAAAATTACTATTTTAGTTGTACTGTTTAGCTTCATTTAGGCCCTGCAAGAGATGACCTAGAATAGAAATAATTCAGAATTCATTTTCAATGTTCTCAGCTACCAAATCTCTTTGAATGCATATTTGTTCATTAGTTTTAAACACTTGTTCTGAACAGAGAGTACACCATGATGTTTTTTTGCAAGGAATGCTGACACCCTTTTTAGTGCTAATGCTTAATCTGCATTATTTTTCCCTTTTAATTACATTGTATAAAAATTTGCTACACATCAGTCTTAAAAGATGTTAATGGGTATTGTATAATAGTCTGCTTTCTCCAATTATATAAACCACCCTTTTCTTGGCCTTAATACTTTATTATCTTTTAATAGAATGCTTGATGTTCAAAAAAAGTATTTAAATATTTATGTATAAAAACTTATTTATCAAGTTTTGGGAGAAATTTCAGTCATGGAACTCATGTGCCATCTTCACCAAGTTAAGACATTAAGAAAAAACGAAGCCAGCAGCTTTCAAGGCAGTTTTTAACTCCTTATCTCTCCTAGTCTCCCATTTCCAGGGAGTCTTGAACTTACAGGTAACAAGAGGTTGGGAGAAGAATCAAGGTATTATGATGGCTCAGGCTCAGTAGCAGCCAGTCTATATCAACCTACAAAGGTTCGCAGGAGATTGAGCTATGCTGACCTGTCCTCCAGGCATTGCAATGTCATGACTGGTGAGGCAATATGGCTCCTGGAACACATGGCTTGTTTCTTCTGGTCTCCATACACACCAGTACAGGTGTCTACAGAAACTAAGGTGCCCACAGTTTCCTTGTGCCCCATTCTCCCCCATAATTTAGCTTCTTTTCCAGGGGCTTGCAACATTTGTCCCCTTCTGAAACACCCAAACTCCATCTAAGTTTCTTTCTGTATTTTATATCCTAATACTGTTTTACTTATATAATTTCTCCCTTTTTACCATGCCTATTTTCCCAGAAACTTTCTGAATCAGACTCACTCTTTTTCAAAAAAAAATAATTTTTACCTGTGGAATAATCCACATGACATAAAATTTACCAACCTAACCATTTTTAAGGGTATAGCTTAGTAGTGTTGAGTACTGTTACTTAACACACTGTTTCACACTGTCCTGCAACCAATATCCAGAACCTTTTTTTTTAAAAGATTTTATTTATTTATTCGTGACAGACACAGAGAGAGAAAGAGGCAGAGACACAGGCAGAGGGAGAAACAGGCTCCGTGCAGGGAACCCGACGTGGGATTCGATCCTGGGTCTCCAGGATCACACCCTGGGCTGAAGGCAGTGCTAAACCGCTGAGCCACTGGGGCTGCCCATATAACCAGAACCTTTTATATATACTAGAAAACTAAACTCTGTACCCATTAAATAATAATTCCCTGTCCCAGCCTCCTCCCAAACCCTAGCAACCACCACTCAACTTTCTGTCTCTATGAGTTGGATGACTTGAGATATCTCATATATATGAAATCATAGTATATGTCTTTTGTGACTGGTTTATTTCACTTAGTATAATGTCCTCGAGTTTCATCTATGTTGTAGCATGCATCAGAATTTCCTTCCTTTTTAAGGCTGAATAATATTCCATGGCATGTATACACCACATTTTATTTATCTATCCAACATTTGGGTTGCTTCTACCTTTTGGCTACTGTGAATAATGCTGCTGTGAATGTGAGTACAAATATCTCTTTAAGAACAGACTCATTCTTTCTGATAACATATATTTATCTATTTGAAAAACCCTTTTTAGTTATGGAAAATTTCAAACAAGTGAAAAAGTAGAGAAGAGTATGACTTTTGGAATATCTGTCACTCAAGCTTCTACAGTTATCAGCTTGTACCTTGTTGTCGTATTTCACCTACATCTCTACCCGTGGTACCTCCCCTGGATTATTCTCCAGCAAATCCTACACAGTATGTAATTTCATCTGTTAATATTACAGAATATGTCTCTAAAAAGCATAAGAACTATTTTTAAAGGCAAAGATACAATACTGCTTTCACACCAAGAAAATTAATAATAATTTCTCATTATCATCAATAGACCAGTTTCTGTTCACATTTTCCCAATTTTTAAAAATTTAAACAATTGATTTGTTTGAATTGCAATCCAGAGAAAGCCCATACATTATCATTGGTGCATGTTACCTGTTGCTCCTCTCTTTTCCTTGAAATTTCTTTTAATAACCTGTTTTTAAACTATTATTAGTATTCTGAGGAGTTTTGAGAACTTTAGGTTTTGCTCATTGTGTCTTTGTGGTCCACTGAGCATTGTCTTTGGTCTCCTGAATTTTTTATAAATTGGTAGCTGGAGGGGCGCTTCGGTGGCTCAGTTGTTGAGTGCCTGCCTTTGGCTCAAGTCATGATCCTGGGGTCCTAGGATCGAGTACCACATCGGGCTCCCTTTATGGAGCCTGCTTCTCCCTCTGCCTGTATCTCTGCCTCTCTCTGTGTGCCTTTCATGAATAAATAAATAAAATCTTTTTTAAAAATTGGTAGTTGGATTAGATGCTTGATCAGATTTAGAATCATTTTTTTTTTTTTGGTCAAAACTAATTTGTGGATGGTGTTGTATTTTTCCATTTGGCAGTACTTGATGTCTGATTGTCTCTTTTTTATTATTAATATTGAGTAGGCTCATCAGTTCATTCAAAGTTGCAAAATGGAGATATTCTAATTCTGTTTTTCTTTCTTCATGATTAACTAATATAGTTCCATCCAAAGTAATGTCCTTTCATCCATTATTTAGTTTTCCTGAGATTCAATTCTTAGAAAAGAAAACACTTTTTTTTTCCTTTGCTTACAGTTTGCTAAGCAAAGAATTGGCTCCCTAGGATCCCCATAGGTGGCCAATAAGATTTTTCTTCTTTTAGTATAATTTTGAACTCATTGATATAAAACATACTTAATGTGTTTTAATTTATTGCACTTATTTTCATTATTGAAGTTGGTCCCTGATATGTTTTGCTATGACCCTGAATGTTGTTGATAGATTCTTAATTGTCTGTTATGACAAGATATTCCAGGCTCATTTTATACTTTTCAAATCCAGGCCTGAAGTCAGCCACTCCTACTAAGAACTTTGATTCCTTTATTAAGAAATGGTATTTAGAGACCACCATCTGGTTATTGCCACTGGATTGGTTTTCAGTGGAAAGAGCTGGCAAATATGCTTTCCATTTTGAGATAAAATATATTTTAGGTTCATATTGATACTTGCAATTCAGTTTCAGAACTAGGGTGTTTTTACTTAATTTCATAAGTCTTATGTCTGTTCATAAATCTAATTTCTGTATGTCCTTTTGCAAATGCAAAAATGCAAAATATAATAAAAATGCAAAAATAATTGTTTTTCAGTGACATAGGTATAATTTCCTTTCCCTCTTTTTTTTTTACTCCATTATATACATACAACAGTCTTAGAATAGGAACACCAACACTACCACTAATAATAAAAATACTAAGAATAATTTAATATTTTTTTCCTGCAGTTATTTTTGTCATTGGGGTATATTCCACTAAGGATGTGTACAATAGAGTTACTAGGTTTAAAACTGCTTGGAAAATTTCTTCTTTGTGTACTTATGCCACCAATTAGATACACAGTTAAATTCTATTATTTTATTTTACTTTTACTTATAAGTATTTTTAAAAATTTGTTTCATAATCATTAAAATACTTAACATGGTCTAAAAATCAAATCAAAGCAAGATGTATTTTTTTTAATTTTTTTTATTTATTTATGATAGTCAGAGAGAGAGAGAGAGAGGCAGAGACATAGGCAGAGGGAGAAGCAGGCTCCATGCACCAGGAGCCTGATGTGGGATTCGATCCCGGGTCTCCAGGATCGCGCCCTGGGCCAAAGGCAGGCGCTAAACCGCTGCGCCACCCAGGGATCCCAGCAAGATGTATTTTTAAA